AGAAGGTACTCGAGAATGACCACTTTAGAATCTACTACGACAGGCCTATTATCACCGATAGACAGGTGACGAATAACAGGCCTGATATAGTGGTGGTGGATAAAGGAATCAACTCGGTCCTTCTGATAGACATCGCCATACCAAATAACAACAACATCTTAAGTAAGTATCAGGAGAAGATAAGTAAATATACAGACCTCGCTTTTGAGATCCGACAGATGTGGCATGCAAACAAGGTCGCGATAGTCCCAGTTATACTATCATCCACAGGCATTGTACCGAAATCACTAGAAACAAGCCTAGCGAAACTGGAACTTCATAAGAATACCTATATCGACCTCCAGAAAGCGGTCATTCTGAAAACTTGTCGCACGGTAAGAATATTTTTACAGGTGTAACGACTGAGCCCAACCCCTTTGATACTCTGTATCCGGGGTGGGTGAATTTTATCCAGCCAATTGGCTGAGATAGTGAGTGTATAATAATAATAATAATAATAATAATAATAATAATAATAATAATAATAATAATAATAATAATAATAATAATAATAATAATAATAATAATAATAATAATAATAATAATAATAATAATAATAATAATAATAATAATAATAATAATAATAATAATAATAATAATAATAATAATATTAATAATAATAATAATAATATTAATAATAATAATAATAATAATAATAATAATAATAATAATAATAATAATAATAATAATAATAATAATAATAATAATAATAATAATAATAATAATAATAATAATAATAATAATTTTTTTTTTATTATAGAGGTAAAGGAAAATCCTGCATTGGACGAACTGACCACTCAGCGAGTAACTCAGAACTCGGACTCGGACTCCTACCGCCTAAAAAACCTCTTATAAAACGTCCAAAGCTGCCCCGGAACTACTTTGACGTATTACTTCGGGACAGTTTCTTGCGTTGCCCTTAGGGCCTCCTGTCTTTAAACACTCTTTTTGTGTCCTTTTTATGTGTATGTAAGTTTAACTTCCGCACTTTACTCGCGCACTGTGGGTCCTTTCCCGGTCTGTCTGACACAAAACATCACTATTTTGGCACTTCGCTTGCGCACTTAGCCCCTTGAGGCATCTAATCTTATGATGAAGAAAAAAAGAGATAAGAGGGATGGATCAAATTTCAATTCCCTCCCATCCCCTATCCCTCTCCTTCGCCTTGAGTACTGCTGTGACATAGGGGTACACAGCGTCCCAATTGTCCTTTGACGACAGCATCTTCTCCAGTATAGTTTCTGGCTCCAAGTCACCGATCTCCTCCACCAGGCTGCTTCGCATCCTTTGCCAACGCAGGCACACGAAGAAGGTATGGTGGGCATCATCGTCTTCAATGTGGCAGTAGAGACACTCCGCCTGTGTGGTCTTCCCTATTCTCTTTAGATATGCACGGAAGTATCCATGGCCCGTGAGGAATTGAGTGAGATAATAACTAGTCTCCCCATGCTTCCTATCGAACCAGTTCTGCACTCTGTAGATGAGCCGAGCAGTCCATCGTCCACGGCTCTCCGCCCTCCACCTGTTCTGCCATGTCTGTATAGTCACTCGACGTTCCTCGCTTTTCACAGTTTCCGGTGCATTCTCCTCTTTACGTTGGTAAATTCGCCTTTGCTCTTCCGCCAAGAGGTCTATCGGAATCACTCCAGCTATGACTTGCGCAGCAACTGCCGAGACCGTCTTATATGCACTGCATATGCGCAACGCTCCTCTCCTCTGCACAGACTCCATCCTTTGCCTATACATTTGGAACCTCAGTGCCTCCGACCACACTTCGGCGCCGTACAGCATGATGGCGTCTGCCGTTCGCATCAGCAGTCTGCGTTTCGAGGGAGAAGGACCGCCAATGTTAGCCATAAGCCGTGCCAACCTTCCCACAACGACTGCCGCTTTGTCCGCAGCCTTGCATATATGGTTAAAAAAATTAAGCTTTCCATCAAGCATCACTCCTAGGTACCTGATCGCATTCGATGTTTCGATGGTTTGATCGCCCACGAGCATTGGAATGTGTTGGTCAATTCGCTTCCGTGTTAGAAGAACGATCTCCGTCTTTTGTATTGCGAGAGAAAGGGATTTAGCCTGCATCCACTCTATTACTCGCCGCATCATCTGATTGAGCTTAAACTGTAGATGTTGTACAGTTCTTGCCTTTATTACCGCCACAATGTCGTCTGCATACCCCACCAGAAAAACACCATCTGGCATTTCAATTCGGAGTATTCCATCATAGTTGAGGTTCCAGAGATTCGCACCCAGAACTGACCCTTGGGCCGCCCCTGATGTAACTCTCTTCCTCTTCCGTCCATCTTGAGTGTCGTATTCCAACCATCGATCCTCCAGATAATCTTGTAGGACCCGATAGAGGTACGCTGGCACGTTAAAGCCCCTCAGCGCTTCTAATATGTCCCGCCATCTTGCTGAATTAAAAGCGTTTCGAACATCCAGGGTTACAACCATACAGATGTCCCTGCTCCAATGATTACCCGTCTGTGTGGCTTGCGCAGCCTCGACTACTTCAATGATAGCGTCGACCGTAGATATCCCTGTAGTAAAACCATACTGTCGAGGGGATAAGCCACCGGCCTCCGAAACAGCACTCAGTGTTCGTTGCCTCAGTAACTTTTCATACAATTTCCCTGCAGTGTCAAGCATACACAAGGGTCTGTGAGCTGATGCAGTGTTGGGATCTCCTTTTCCTTTCCCGATAAGAACGAGTTTTGCAACCTTCCATTGCTCAGGAAAGATTCCTTCTACGAGGCATGCATTATACATATCTAACAGTATTTCCGGGTGAGTATCAACCATAATCTTCAGTATCTCCGCAGGAATCATATCTGGACCAGGGGCTTTCTTGTTGCGCATATTTTTCGTCGCCTTTACAAGCTCGTCCATGGTAAAAAGAGGTATCTCACCAGTTACTTCAACATGCGGCCGGTCCTCTAGCTCATGAGTAGGAAACAGTTCCTCAACAATCCTATCTTTAACATCAGTTGTCATCTCTGAAGTTGAGTCCATTCCCCTAAGTTTCTTGAGCACAATCTTGTACCCAAGTCCCCAAGGATCATTTTCCACGTCTTCGCATATTTCTCTCCATTTGGCAGCTTTACTTTTGGTTATTGAAACCTTCAAGGCCCGTCTTGCTATCCTGTACTCGTCCACCCTTTGCTAAAAGTCTAGGGAATCCCTCCTGGTTCTTTAAGCAAGCCTTCTAAGCCGAAAACAGTCTTTTCTGAGGTCAGCAATCTCCTGATTCCACCAGTAGACGGGGCGGCGATCCCTCATGGCCTTCTTCTTTGGCATGGAGCTCTCACAGGCTTTGGTTAGTAAGCCCATGGTCGCTATAACCAGTAGCGCAGCACGACCCCCACCGACAGCTCTCCGTTTTATTTGTTCCAACGTCGCGCTGCTCATTTGGGTCATTGCTTCGAAAATATCCCTATCCAGTCTTTCAACGTTCCAGCGCGGAGGTGGGGCTGCCTCTTGCTTGGGTACGTTTTCTCCAATTCTGAACTGAATATATTGATGGTCGCTGGCAGAATAATCTTCCAGCACCTCCCACTCGCTAATCTGTGCTGCCATAGTGATGTCAGGTATGGTTCCTCTACATCCAGCCCTCCGAAAAGTCGGTACGTTGCCTTCGTTTATGATTACCAATCCCAGTCGTGATGCCATGTCTATGACCCTTCGTCCCTTGCTGTCTGGTTCTGGTTCACCCCACTCCAGCGCCTTCGCATTTAAGTCACCTGCTACTAGTATATCTCCTCTCATGCCTCGGACTTCGTCCTCGATGCCCTTTAGTTTCTCTTCATATATGGCAATAGGGTCGTTGGGTGAGGTAGCAGCTAATGTACGTTACACCCTTGCTCCTAATCCAACTATAGCCCTTGCCTACTCCATTTGCTTCCACCTGGACAGCAGCCCGATTCACCACCCAAATGGCAGCAGTACGGGATGGATCCTCGAACCAGTCCTGCGCAGTGTCTCCGTAAGTATACTGTTCACTAACGAGCATTATATCCCCCTTCTTTTCCTCAACAATCTTCTCCTTTATACTATTTGCAGTTGCGCTCCTATTTAGGTTAATTTGAAGAACCTTCAGGATCTTCCCTTTGTCCTCCTTTCCAGGGCCCTCCGAAAGGCGATACAACTTTTCTGCCGGCAGCATGTCCGTCCGCAACGCCTAGCTCAGCACACAAAAGACACTTTGCATCATTTGTACAAGTAGCTCTCTTGTGCCCTGTCCCTTCACATTTAAGACAAGTAGTCGCTCGATCCGGGCCCTTGCACTCCCTGGCGAAATGACCATACCCCATGCACTTAAAGCATCGGGGCACATCCACCCTTCTTCTGATGCGGCAATTTACCCACCCTATCCTGATCTTTCCTGCCTCAATTAGCTTCTCAGCGTCCCCTCCTGATAGGGAGACAATGGCCAAGATCTGTTTTCTGCCGTTCAGGGTAGTCAGATCCACCGCTATGTCTTCTCTGTTTCCTCCCAGCTTATCTTTAATTGCTTCCTTCACGTCCTCCTTGGTTGTAATGGAGTCAATATCACGGATTTCGAGAGATACCCGGGGCTTGAGGTCTTTTACCAGACCTTCTCCCACCGCCCCCTCGACAGCCTTTCTGAAACCACCTGTTATACCGCAGGATGGTTCCATCTCTAGCATCACATCTCCTCCCATTGTTCTCTTGATCGCTCTGATCTCCGTGTTGGTGTCCGACGGCTTTACATTCTGCTTCAATTAACGGAGCACCTCGGCATACGGAAGCGCCTCCGATACCTTGATGACCAAGGCCTCCGGTCTCTTCAAGTTCCTCCGTCTTTCCTTGTTGGTCGCTTCCTTTTCCTTCCTCCTTTTTTCCTGCTCAATTCGACGTTTCTCTTCTTCATACTTCCTTTTCTTCTCCGCTTCCTTTTTCCGTAATTCCGCTTCCGCTTGTTTCCGAATTCTCGTCAGTCAATCTGCCTCTCTCTTTGCTTCATGAACAGCCTTCCTTTCATTCTCCTTACCTAGGTCCTGCTTGCTTTTTTGGAATCTGGTCCTCTCTGGTAAGCTTGTAGCATCCGAGTCAGTAACTACTTGGCCTGAGCCATCGATTTCAGTTTCAATTAGTTCTTCCTCTTCAGAATCACTGAAATCAGCCAGTTCTTCCTTCCGACGTTTCCTGCTTCCTGTACCTCCCTTTTTGGAGGGGGACCACTTGGGCAGCTTCTCCACTTCCTCTTTCAACTTATTTTGAAGTAAGGTCCTCTTCTTCTCCTGAGTGACCAGGGCATCACAAAGTTCCACCATTGCCGTCAGCCCTGCTTTGACGACTTGGCTGATGTTTGGCTGTTTCTTCGTCGCTGCCAGCATTTCAGCTAAAGTTTTCTTCATATTTTCCAGGTGTCCCATGTCCTCCTGTCCCATTTCCTCGAGTTCCATTAAGGGGTTTCTCAATAGTGTTGAGCTTCCACTCTCGCCTTCATCTTTCTTCTTTGTGCTTTCATTATCTTTTTCTTTTTCTGTATTCTTCATCTTTGTTCCCACGAGTAGTTAGGGTCATCATCGGTCACCCACTGGCAGAGCCCCGCATGCCAGGGAAAGGCTAGGGTTGAAACTGGGGGTCGCCCGGTGCCCAGAGTCCGCATACTTAAGACCAAGCGTCCCCTTGGCCACGCATCCCTCGGCGTATGCTGTTCCACCTTGGCTTGGGTTTCCCCCTTCTCTCTTGGCTTGCCGACCTTCCATCCTATCCTCTCTAGGAGAATTCTCAGAGAAAGTTACTCGGCGTAACAGGGTGCACCGCGAGTAGGTGGAGAGATAGGAGTTGGTGAGCAGAGGCTTTATCATGCGACCTAGTTGTCACGATCGCAAAACGCATACTCACCCCTTTGCACCCCAATAATAATAATAATAATAATAATAATAATAATAATAATAATAATGATAATAATAATAATAATAATAATAATAATAATAATAATAATAATAATAATAATAATAATAATAATAATAAAAATAATAATAATAATAATAATAATAATAATAATAATAATAATAATAATAATAATAATAATAATAATAATAATAATAATAATAATAATAATAATAATAATAATAATAATAATAATAATAATAATATTAATAATAATAATATTAATAATAATAATAATAATAATAATAATAATAATAATAATAATAATAATAATAATAATAATAATAATAATAATAATAATAATAATAATAATAATAATAATAATAATAATAATAATAATAATAATAATAATAATAATAATAATAATAATAATAATAATAATAATAATAATAATAATAATAATAATAATAATAATAATAATAATAAATAATAATAATAATAATAATAATAATAATAATAATAATAATAATAATAATAATAATAATAATAATAATAATAATAATAATAATAATAATAATAATAATAATAATAATAATAATAATAATAATAATAATAATAATAATAATAATAATAATAATAATAATAATAATAATAATAATAATAATAATAATAATAATAATAATAATAATAATAATAATAATAATAATAAATAATAATAATAATAATAATAATAATAATAATAATAATAATAATAATAATAATAATAATAATAATAATAATAATAATAATAATAATAATAATAATAATAATAATAATAATAATAATAATAATAATAATAATAATAATAATAATAATAATAATAATAATAATAATAATAATAATAATAATAATAATAATAATAATAATAATAATAATAATAATAATAATAATAAATAATAATAATAATAATAATAATAATAATAATAATAATAATAATAATAATAATAATAATAATAATAATAATAATAATAATAATAATAATAATAATAATAATAATAATAATAATAATAATAATAATAATAATAATAATAATAATAATAATAATAATAATAATAATAATAATAATAATAATAATAATAATAATAATAATAATAATAATAATAATAATAATAATAATAATAATAATAATAATAATAATAATAATAATAATAATAATAATAATAATAATAATAATAATAATAATAATAATAATAATAATAATAATAATAATAATAATAATAATAATAATAATAATAATAATAATAATAATAATAATAATAATAATAATAATAATAATAATAATAATAATAATAATAATAATAATAATAATAATAATAATAATAATAATAATAATAATAATAATAATAATAATAATAATAATAATAATAATAATAATAATAATAATAATAATAATAATAATAATAATAATAATAATAATAATAATAATAATAATAATAATAATAATAATAATAATAATAATAATAATAATAATAATAATAATAATAATAATAATAATAATAATAATAATAATAATAATAATAATAATAATAATAGAATAGAATATCGTTTATTGACCAGTTACATACTAAATAGTACATTTATAGTCCTTATAATATAAATAGTGATGAAGATACAAAATGTAGTATACAAGAGAAAATAGTCATATGAAAATAATACACTGAAATAAATAAATCTAAAATTCTAAAAGTGTAAAAAATATAAAAATATAAAACCTTAAAATGTCAAAATGTAAAAACTGTCAAAAATATACATACAATATAAACCTACAATTATAAACATACAATACACACGTACAATACACAGAGTTGTTAAAAATCGTAAGTATATTAAAAAATTAAGTAAAATTTAAAAATTCATCTATAGAGTAAAAACAATGTTCTAACAAGAAGTTCTTCGAAAGTGTATAAAATGAATTAAATTCCATATTTTTAATGTTTTTACCCTTAAATATAAAGTGTAATTTGTTAAAAAAATGTATGTTCAGTTTGTTATTCTTAGTTACACATATTCTGGAGTACTGTGGAACCAAATTGTCAGCTCTCCTTGTATTGTAATGGTGTATGTCTGAATGACTGTTATAGTTGGTCATGTTACGAAAAATAGAAATTAATGTTTCAAAAATATAGATACAAGGTAACGGCAATATTTTGTATTTTTTAAAAAGTTCCTTACAATGAGTAAGTCCATGTGCACCATCCATAATACGTATGGCAGTCTTTTGTAACGTAAAGACCTTATGCAGACTAGATGAGGCGCCCCACAGTACTACACCATATGTTAAATGACTGTGGATTATTGCGAAGTAAATTGATCTCATCAGTGTTGCATTTTATGCAAGATCTTAGTTGCCGCATTGCATATATTTGACTGCATAACTTTGAGCGGAGACCATTGATATGGTGAAACCAATTTAATCCGCTATCGAATGTTATGCCTAATAGCTTTACAGGTTCCGACTTTGGTACACATTTATCTGAACTAAATAACATGTTTTGGGTTTTATTAATATTTAATTTTAATCTATTTGATGCAAACCAAGTCGTTGCCAAATCTAAGTTTTCTTGGCTAATATTAACCCCACTCTTGGTTAGAAAAGTGGTGTCATCTGCAAATAAAACAGCATGACTGAGTTTGTGAACTGAAGTTGGTAAATCATTTATATAAACCAAGAATAAAATTGGCCCTAACACAGATCCCTGCGGGACTCCATTTTTTACCTCATTTAGCTTGGAATTATAGTTTTTAAAGCTGACATACTGTTTTCGGTTTTTAAGATAAGTAGCGAATAACTTTAATTCTTTATCACGAAAGCCATAATACTCCATTTTCTTAATTAATATATCTTTATCAACACAGTCGAAGGCTTTTGATAAGTCAACCATAGTAGCATTTACACTAGTCCCTTGATCAATGCCTTCCGTAATATACTCAACAACTTTAACAAGAGCAGAGATGGTGGATTTATTTTTTTGGAATCCAAATTGATTCGTTGATAAAATTGACTTGTTCTCAAGGTAGGATACTAATTTTTCTTTTATAAGTATTTCAAATATCTTAGACAGAACTGGAACTATCGCAATTGGCCTAAAATTGTCAACAATGTCCACATCATCTTTTTTATGGATAGGAACAACTCTAGAAATTTTAAATAAACTAGGCCAATTACCCTCCTTTATGCATTTGTTGAAGAGTTTTGTAAGGGGATCCAATAAGGATTCAATTGAAGCTTTGATCATTAATGCATTTAAACCAAAGTAATCAAAACCAGGTTTACTTTTTAAAGATAAAATTGCTCGACGTACTTCTGACTCAATAATTGGTGCCATGAAGAAAGAAGAAGAAGGCTTAGGAAGCTTATTCAAATAATACATTGGATCATAAGTTTCACTGTCTATACTGTTCATTATCGTTTCTGATATAGACGAAAAGTAATCATTAAAAGTATCGGAATCTATAGAGGTTAAACTGCTCGGTTGAGCTTTTCCGGGTCTCTCGTGATTTACAATGTTCCAAATCGTTTTGGATTTATTAGTGGATGTAATTATAGTATCCTCATAAGCATTCCTCTTAGCTTCCTTTAGGGATTTCCTATATTGTTTTCGCAATTCACAGTAAGTTGACCAATCGACAGAAGAGTTTGATTTAATAAACATATATCTACTACTTGATACCCTCTGACGCAATTCCTTCAGCTCATTTGTGAACCATTTTATTTCAGGCCTTTTGTAGTTAATTGGTTTTAATGGAAAGCAGACATTTACATTTTTAGATAGAATGTCAATAATTAAACTTGCTGCTTCGTTGGATTCAAGTTGATCCAAGCCAAAATCACACCAGTTTATATTATGAAGTAAATTTGCAAAATTTAGGAGATTTGAGTCGTTAACAACTCTTTTTTTATAATGGATGTTACATTTAGTTGTCCTTCTATCGAAAAATATAAAAGTGCCAGAGTGATCTGAAATAAAAGGTTCACACACATCAGTATACATAATATCTGCACTTATATTTGTAACAATATTATCGAGACAAGATCTAGTAGTCATAGTGATTCTAGTAGTATGGTGGCGGTGCGCCATACCATAAAATATAAAGTTTTTGATTTTTTAATAATATGCAAGGCTTCTGTTAGAGATGATGTATTTTCAAACTTGATACATACAGATCATCAAAATATATTCATATAACAAACTTCACAAAACCATAACAACTTAAAACTATAGAAACAACAAGAAGGTAAAATATATACAGGTAGTTTCGCAAGTGAACACCACAAATATTCCCCCTCCTGAAAAAAATTATTACTTATGTTTGATTATAAGTGTTTACTGCGAAGGAGACTTTCTTTTTGTTAGTTTTTTGATATATATTCTCAGATTCGCTAGTTAGTAGAAAAGCAGGTTTTACCCTGTCGATACTGATAATAGTATCTTTTTCACCTTTCTCTATAACGATATTGTTTGAGAATCTTTTTTTAACTTTATAGGGTCCTTCATAAGGTGGTTTAAGAGACGGCTTGATTCCCTCAACTCTGACAAAAACGTATTTGCATGAATCTAACTCAGGATACACAAAAGGTTTTTCTTTGCTATGATTTGATGTTGTTGTCGGTTTAATGTTC